GCATCTCAACCATTGCATGTTCAACTTTGATCTTGTCTTTTCCATTCCAGGTCAAGTCCAACTTAGTTACACCGAGGAATGGGGAGCCCCTTATCTCTGCAATCCAGGACTTCATTACAGGTAGGGCTGTCAGAAAACTCAGTTTGTGATGTTCTAGTTCCTTTCTGCATGAAACCAAAAACAAGGTTAGACCTTTAGGCTGCCAAGCTGTGAGGTACAAAATAGTCAAGGTGTGCAAGTGCAGCCTCTCTTCCAATCGAGCCATAAAGAGGCTGATTTAGCAGTTAGTGACAAAATGCCTCACCTGAACACACACACCACAGCACTCTTGGCTGGATTCCACTGACTTAGCAAATCTTGCACCTCTCTGTCTGTGATAGGCTCCTACTTACTGACTCAAAAAGACGTCTTCTTTGATCGTGCCAAGGCGTGTCAGCTGATTGCTAGCATGCTATCCCAAAGAGACGAGAACTTGCAAGTCAAGCTACCTCCACCAGCCATCGTAAAGGTACAAATGAGAGGAGAGTATGAACGACTGAAAGATGAACACGGTGTTGAAAGAGGGTAACAAGACACATGGCTGGAAATATTCCGGCAAATAATCCCAAATTGTTTCCAACTGATAAAGCAAGGTTTTTCTGTGTACACGTGATTATTCTGCTTTCAAGTAAAATACAAAGGTACAGAATTTAGTGCTTTGAAAAACTGGAATTTATTTGACCAGAAATCAACAAATTCTCAAGTTGTGCAAGGAAACTGAATGTGGGTTTACCCAAATTTATTTTCTCATGCATAATGAAAGTTTGAAACTTTGTAAGATTTGAACCTGTTACTGTTTAGATCAACAGTCAAGTTGCTGACCAAAGCCGACTCAAAGCATTCCTTTTGACTGAAATGTTTTCTTCTTCAATTCCTTTCATTTGGTTTCTGCCTTCAGCCAAGATGCCTGTGGACGGGCAAGCAGATCTTTGGAGTCATCATCAAACCCAACGACTCCTGCGGAATTGTCATGAACCTTCGCGCCAAGGCCAAGAACTACTGCGGCAAGGGGCTGGATCTCTGCTACAACGATTCATGTAAGGAAACACTCTAAAACCGGGGAGACCCTGCTCCTAAAAGATCATTGTAGCTGACAGCAAGACTTACTCATGAATAAAACTTGAAATGTTTTTACTGGAACTATAATTGAGGCCAAGTCTTAGCACGTCACTGCAAGTCCATCACAAGTCATTCAGCTTTTAATTTCCCTATTTTAATAACAATTTTGGACTAATAGCATATGACATATTCATTAGCCTCAGTTCCTGTTAATTCATCCTTCAAAATTCCCATATTCCTTCTGGTTATGATTTATAATCATTTCTCTAGTATTACATGACATTTCTCATACAGATGTTGTGGTCCACAACAGTCAGCTCATGTGTGGAGCAATGGATAAGAGTGTCTTAGGGTCAGGGTCCAAGACTAACATCTTCTACATCTTGCTGCGAGACTACGGGGAAACCTTCGCAGCTGACGCTATGAGCCGCTTGGCACGGCTCTGTCCGTTCTTCCTCAGTAAGTGACCAGCCCCAAGTGAAGACTTGAATACTTTTCAAAAGAGGTCGTTTCAGGGCCTCCTTACAGCAGGTACTATTTGAGTTGGTAAGCCGGTTTTTGCAAAGCTAAACTTTGGACCAGGTCCGATGTAAGCTTCCCTAGCTTGACTTTGAACTGCCAAGTATACATTCATAGTGATATTTCTTGTAACTTCTCAGGTAATCGAGGATTCTCAATCGGGATTGGCGATGTCACTCCAGGCGAGGGACTGATATCAGCCAAGATGGACCTTCTCAAAGCTGGGTAACTACCTCAAACATTTCTGCTATACTTTAAGAAAAAAAATCATATTTGTGTTGTAGAAAATGCTATAACATTTAGGAAAATTCTATAGCTTTAGGAAAACAATCCTCAAAATTGTTTTCATAAAGAAGTGATGCTACTTTGTGTTGTTACACAGATACACTAAGTGTGACGAATATATCAGTGATTTAGAGTCGGGAAAACTCCAGACTCAACCGGGCTGTTCGGAGGAAGAAAACTCGAGGTAAGTCCATGAGGCATTTGTGCTCATACTCAAAGCGCTCAAGAAATATATGCTGAAATTTTGCTGCTGTTTTACACATTTATCAGTTGTCCTTCTAATGCTGACCTTTGAACCATGACCTTTGACAGGCAATGATCCTGAAGGAGCTTTCGGTGATCCGTGACCACGCAGGCAAGGCCTGCTTAAAGGAACTCCATAAAAGTAACAGTCCGTTGACTATGGCGGTGTGTGGTTCCAAGGGTAAGGAATGTTCACCCTCTGTGACACCAATCCAAATGTATTACTGGATTATGGTATTGTGAAAAGTCTTGCTAAAATGGCTGTAAACTGCATTCCATGTCAAAGTGGCAAGGCCTTGTGCACATGTTGCGATGACCACTATTGAGTCGCCATTCTCCATTCACAACTTCCATGTTAATGTGAGCGTCCATTCTGTCACATGAAGTACGTCTAGCAGCGTCTGATAACATCACAACCTCTGATAACCTCTGTGCCTCATCTCTACAGGTTCATTCATCAACATCTCTCAGATGATTGCTTGTGTAGGTCAACAGGCTATCAGTGGACATCGCATACCGAACGGATTTGAGGACAGGGCCTTGCCTCATTTCAAACGCCACTGTAAGTCCCTCCAAGCTGCACACAAGTCTTTTTTCAAGCCCTTCAAGTATACTAAATACTTGTGATTATCTGGAAGTGGTTTGTGACTAGTGACGCAGAGGGTAAAGGGTTCAAATCCAGCTTCAGCCATAGGTTGTGTCCTTAAGCAAGGCACTTTTCCCTTACATCTTTCGTGGTGTATTGGGATTGGACTTTAACTGATAGTGTTTGTACATTATTGGAGTTGCCAGTCCAGTGGGTTGGAATTGTCATTTGGATCTGTAATGTTTGTGACTTTGTGGACTTTGTTTTTTGCAGCAAAAGTTCCAGCTGCCAAAGGCTTTGTGAAAAACAGCTTCTACACCGGCCTGACACCAACCGAGTTTTTCTTCCACACTATGGGGGGAAGAGAAGGTAAAATTGCTTCTCTCTACCGGACAGCTGAATTTATTTTTCATTCTGTAAATGTAGGAAAATTTGGATGTTTCAAAGCTGCACGAATTGAGCAACCTTTGTTTGAAATGTTGTTTGTGTAGGTCTTGTGGACACTGCAGTCAAGACTGCCGAAACTGGCTATATGCAGAGACGACTTGTCAAGGTAATAAAAGTGTTTAGTATCCCAGTTTAGCATTCCGTTTTGGGCAAACCTATCCAGTTGGGCACTCTGAGTTGGAAAAAAAAAATTACGAAAATTCTAAGATCCTCTCTGGGAGGGAAAGTCAGACTACTGTAATGAACTTGGCTATTCCTCTGTCCAGCTTGTGTTATTCGTCCAATTTGTCAGCGACTTTTATCTGTTTAAATCTGAGAGATTCAGTCTGAACTATTTGGCAGTCGTTGGAAGATTTGTGCTCGCACTACGACGGGACGGTGCGTAATTCCATGAGCGACATTATACAGTTTGAGTACGGAGCAGACGGCCTAGACCCCACCATGATGGAAACGAAAGACAAACCAGCCAACTTTGATAGAGTCTTGCATCACATCACGGTAAGATGAAGATGTGGAAAGACAATGTTTGGGATTTCTATCGGGGGGTGGAGCCGAGTATTTGTTACCGGATCCCACAAAATTAGTCCTAAGGCCTGTTTATCGCTGTAAGTTTGCTCTATTAATTAATGTGAACCAAACTGAGTGCTCTGATTTGATGTTATCACCAAGTCTGGCACCCTGGTGACACTGGACACTGTGTGGATGAAAGATGTTGAGGGTGCCTGTTGATTTCCATCATTCAAGATTTCTTCTCAAGGCCTTTAAACCAAAAGCGGCTCTAGTGGCTTCCTACTCAGGCTGGGTCACACTTTCTCATTCCAAGATGCAACTTTACCATTCTTCCTTATCGCCAACTTTGTGCTTTTTTTTTCTTTTCAGAGCAAATTCTCCTGTCGTGAGGAATTCACCTTGAGTAGCCAGACACTGCACTCTGAAGCGTATCGCGTTATCGACAGCGACGACTTCAAGATGTGCAGTGCAGACTTCCGAGAAGAACTCAAGTACGTGCCTGCCGATGCCATTAGACACTCAAACATGTGACCATTGGATCATTGGCTAGAGCTGTGTACTACTGAAATTGATAACAACACCTGTGCTGTTACAACAAAAAAATTACATTCTTGTCCGTATCCATGAAAGCATTTGGGTTCGCCCAAAATTAAACCACATTTATAAGCCCAACCCCCCAAATTACTAGGCCACTAATCAGATTCAAACACGAACCGAGGAGACTTTGTAGAAGGTTCCCTCTGGCATGCTTTGTAGATTGCTTGAAGTTAGGCTGAGATCTGAGCCATCAGCTCCCTGCAATCTGCCCGAGATCTTTCTCTGTCATTCCATCCAGGAGCTTCATCGACACAGTGTGTGAAAAGATTCAGCGTTGCCGGGCCCTCTGTGGTCTAAACGAAGTACAAGAGGAGAGAAACGGTAGGTACGGCTGAAAGGCTCAGGAACAGGAGAGGGACAGGTGTAAACCTTCAAAGAAAAGACACCATTTAAGTAAACAGGAAATAGAAAGAGAGTATAAGAAGATTTGATGTAACTTGGAGTGTAGCTAGTCAACATTGCCTTTATTATGATATTTACAAACTAGAGCAATCTAAAGATGTACCAATGCTTTGCACGTTTTGTTACTTTTCCCTCAGTCCTTTGTGGTCAGCCATCTTTGATGTTAAGCCTTTTGACAAATTGGGTATCTTGGGCTTATTGCCTGTTTAACCATATAAAATTCACCATGGTGAGCAGCCGTAGCCAGACAGCAGTGCCTGTTTTTACACACAGCTTGACATCCAAGATGGCTGAGCAGAGGGGTTCATGGGAACTTAATGGCATCAATACAAACAGCGTGTTGAGCTATTTCTCCTCAGTCCTGTATCAACTAGAGCGCATCACGCCCACCCAGCTGCAGCAGTTTCTGAGCATGTGCAGATCAAAGCACATGAGGGCGCGCATCGAGCCTGGTACCGCCGTGGGCGCAGTAGGGGCACAGAGCATTGGGGAGCCAGGAACCCAGATGACCCTCAAGACATTCCACTTCGCTGGTGTGGCATCCATGAATATCCTTTCCAATGGTGATCATTAGAAATCCTGCATTTGATTTGGGCACTCAGATATTCTGCCTGGACGTACCCCACAATTTCGGTCTCACTTTGAAATGTCCCAAGTTTCTTTAACCAAAATTTCACATATCACCCTTGGAGTGCCCCGTATCAAGGAGATCATCAATGCCTCCAAGAGTATCAGTACTCCAATCATAACGGCTCAGCTCGACGTAGAAGATGACGCTGACTTTGCCAGGCTGGTGAAAGGACGTATCGAGAAGACCAAACTGGGAGAGGTAGAATGAGAAAGAAACTGAGAATTTTACTTCAGAAATAACGGATGGTGATTTCCCGCTCACCCACTTTTTTTTCTGAAAATGGTAAACAAGTGTTTTTTCTTTCTTTCCCGAGGTGTCTGAGTTTATCGAGGAAGTCTTTCTACCAGACAACTGCTTCATTTTGGTCAAGCTAGACATGGATCGTATCAAATTACTCAAGGTCTGTTTATGGGATGTTCTTTTCTAGTTCTAGTCTCAAGTTAAAAATGTAACTAAACCTGAACACATTTTACTGAAAAGAGAGCTCAATTGAGGCCAAATGACTGAATGTGTTTTTGTATGTCAATGTTTTCCTTGCAGCTTGAAGTCAATGCCGAAACAGTCCGAAAATCCATCTGTGCCTCCAAACTCAAAGTCAAATTTCAGGTGAGATGTCTGAGGCAATGTACTCACAGCCTCACCATTTTGCAGCGATGTTTGTAAACTCATGTTTATTTCTTCAATAAAATGTTCTTGTCTCCAAAAATGTTTGGGATTGCTCACAGAATGTGGAAGTGCTTTCCACCAACATGTTGACCGTGGCACCTCAAGAGACTAGCAAGAGTTCCATGTACTATGCCCTGCAATTCCTCAAGGAGAATTTGACAGATGTTGTCATCCAGGTAGGACTTGTTGCTACAGATTTGCACGAAGGCCTGTCAATTCTTTATTGAAGCAATTCTGTCATGAGTGTCAAGTAGCCACAGGTGTTTGAAGTCCTTACTCAGAAAGCCTGTCAATTCTTGATTCAAGCAATTCTGTCATGAGTGTCGAGTAGCCACAAGTGTTTCAAATCCTTACTCAGACAGTCTGTCAGCATATTGAAAGGAGACTTCTGTGTTGGTTTTTTTTTTTGTCTCATAGGGAATATCAAACGTATCTCGCGCTGTGATCCACATTGACGACAAGGGTAGCAAATCGCTCTACAAACTCTTGGTAGAGGGCGATAATCTACAAGCTGTGGTAGCAACAAGAGGTGAGGCAACAATGTCTTATAATCCACCAAGTGACTCGGAAGTTGCCAACCTTCAACCTTTCAAAATGAATAGTCGGTTATCACAAATCCATTTCAGAATCGAAGTGAAGGTTGTGCCTCCAATCCCTCAGTACCTTAACCCTATTCTGAATCCAAGGAGCATATGCATGATTTCCTGGTCCCTAGGGGTTAGGATTAATGTGTTTATCACTTCATTGTTTGTGTGGGGTTTTTTTCTCGCAGGTGTTAAGGGAACTGCCACAACTTCCAACAACACAAGTGAAATGGAGAAAACCTTAGGCATTGAGGCTGCAAGGTAAGATCGTTACTTCCATAAGCATACTTATAAAAGTTCCATTCTTGTTTCATGGGCTGCAGTATTTTATTTTGAAGAATTATTGTTTTAGCAAGTATTTTTGCAATAAGACATTTTTGGAACAGTTGGTTTTTTTCAAGCCTGCTTCTTCATTCAGAAATTAAAGAAAGACAAATGATTGTCTTCCAGACAGTACATGCTTTTATATGGTGCCTTGCATAAGTGCTGGCTCTTGAGGGCGCTGTTTGTTTTTTTAATGTCAACAGACGCACCATCATCGAGCAGATTGAGTACACCATGGTGAGCCACGGTATGAGTATAGATCACCGCCACGTCATGTTGTTAGCTGACCTGATGACTTACAAGGTATGTGTAGACAGACAATGGATGGTTTCTTGCCCGCTGTCGTTTATGGCAGTAGATTTTAGATAGACTATGCTTTCATCCGTCAGAAGGTTATTTACAACTTGTTGAAATGTGTCTGCATGTCGAGGTTAGGACCTTGCAGTATGGGTTAAATGGCAACTCTTAAGATGAGTATTTAGATAGCAAAGTGAACAAGTAAAGTACTAGATGGTGAACAGAAAAAATGTATGTTAGAGGGGTTCAATGACCTGAAGCTCATGAAATTGAAATATGTGCTGTTCTACAAAATGATGTAAAATTTCCTTCATTTCGTGTCTTTAACTGTCAGGGTGAAGTGCTGGGCATCACTCGCTTTGGTCTTGCCAAGATGAAAGAAAGCGTCCTGATGCTTGCTTCGGTAAGATTGTGCAGTAGATTTCAGCCAATCAATCGAACTCTGATCGTGAAGACTGCTACAGTAATTTACAAAAAAATTCAGGGAAGTTATTTTCTGTCTGCTGTTCTTCATCCTGACAGTTTGAGAAGACAGCTGATCATCTCTTTGATGCGGCTTACCACGGACAAAAGGATGCGATTTCTGGTGAGTTTTAAAACTTTTCCATCCAGCTATTGTACTTGGAGAGGTTGGAGTTCATTTGATACATTTTAGTTACTGAGACAGGGTTAAATTTTTATTTGCAAAGCTATGAAAATCAAAGGTTTCAGTGATTGTTAGGACATTCACACCAGGGTATTTGGGCCAACCAGCAGTAATTCACTGAGTGTTTTAGAGGAAGGACTATTAGAGCTGGCTTTAGTACCTAAAATGAAATGTGCACTCAAGTTCACAACTGTTGTATAGTTCTCGAGCAGGACCAAGAGAGGGCGCAAGTTTCCAGGCACCAGAGGCTCCTTTGGTAGGAACTGCACTTGGCTGGTTCACAAATGACTGTGAAATACGTGTTGCGCCGCTACCAACAAAATGAACAGTTCCCACCAGCATGGCTCTTTTCAGCCAGTGAGTGGGTCCTTCTGCCCAAGTGCAGCCTGACAGTGCTTTCTCAATATTTGGTGAATTAACCCATCAGAGAAATACAGGTTCCGTTTTCACTGAAGTTTCCCGTCTAAGAAAACATCTCCTTTTTTTTCGGTTTCAGGTGTGAGTGAATGTATCATCATGGGTATCCCAATGAACATCGGAACAGGGATCTTCAAACTTCTTCACAAATATCCTTTTCATAAAGGGCCGACTTTTATTTCCTGGGAAACACACAGATGAGACTATTGATTTGTTTATTTTAGCTTGGTCTGTTATTGCTGGTTAGAATTCTGTTTTTTGCATCTTGTAGATACAGAAGTTCAGTTTGCTTCATTTTAGTGGCTTTTGTGTCATTTCATTAATTTAATTTGATTTTGTCACACTGAATATGTTTCCTCTTTCTCCGTAAAGCTCAGTGTAGTTGATGAATGCACTTCATATCCCTTGCTGAATAAATGTAGCCATTAAGATCTTGTTGTTTCACATTTCCTTGACTGATGTCTCTGTACAGCTGATAAGGTGAGCAATCCTACTCAGCGGACACTCATCTTTGACAATCCAAGGTTCCACCTGCTTGAAACGACTTGACAGCAACAGCAAAGTCATCCTGATGGACAGGAGCTTCAGAGATATGCAAAGCCCCTCTCCCCCCTTACGACAAGGGAAAAGCAAAGAAGCATACCTTGAAGATAAATATTACTTGGAAGCTTTCATTAATTTTGAACCCTCTAGCTGACTCTGAAGATTTAAGTTAACTGTAAAAAGGACTGACATAGTGGAAGTACGCTCACAAAATGGGAGGTAAAAGCTTATATTTCGAAGCAGACCTTCTAAAAGATAAGCGGTTCAGAAATTCCATTTTCTAATGAATAAAGATCCCACATTAGAAGACTCATACACAATCAGATGTTTGTTTTCATTCCAAAAAATTACCTGTGCTGCAGAGCAAAGTTACATTTCTTGGTCAAACATTAATTTTAACCAAAACTTAATTATTTTGAAAGACAAAAACCTTTGGAATTTTGCTAAATGTTGTTCATAAAATTCCATATCCAGATGCCTCATACAGCATAACTGTTCATTTAAAACTTGTTTCTGAGTAATTTTGGACAAACATTAAATTTCAGCCAAAATTGAAC